AGACTGACTGATCAGCAAGCCCACACACCTTAAGGAAAGAAGGCTCTCCTAGTTCTTTTAGAAAACGGCAGCCTTTACTTGATCAAGCTCCTTAGGCTAACAACGTAAACCCCACCCACAGGGACGTCCTGGGGGCCCATCACGATGGACGCTGCACTTAAGGGAACCTTCCAAAGAGATTAAGGTGCATAATATTCCCATGGACCCTTGGCTGAAAGACTTGAGTCAAGTGCACCCATCAACCCACCCTTGTGCATCCTCCCAGGGTCTCTTTCAAACACTCTTCTACTGCCACCAGCCCATCTTCACCTGCGAAGTCCAGAGTCTGTTCCATGGCTAACAGCAGTGTCTTGTTAGTTAGAGACACCAATGCCACAACTCAGTGCACCTTACATCCAGAGACACAAAAGCTAGACACCACAGGAGAGAGCACACTATGGGCACCGGGAAATCCAGGAAGGTGACTATCCCCGAAGACATCTGTTCCTCCTCCAGCTTTACCACTCTGCAAGTCCCAGCACGCAGGCTAGATGTGCACTGCTGATTCTCACGCCCATGGACAGAGGTGGATGGGGCCACCAGGGTCACACGCAAGGGCAGTAAGGGGGCCCTTTGGGTGGGAGGCAAGGCAGCTTCTCTGGGAGATGAGGACAGGCCTCTCTTGCCTCACTGAACCAATGTTCCAGAGACAGAGCCTCGAGAGGAAATTAAACGCTAATTGCAGGTACCCTGAGGGTGGACAGGCTCGACCGGTCGTGGGGTCACCTCATGACACCAAGATGGGGGTGTGGAGCAGCCATGATCTACACAGCAAGCCTCGTCCATCTAGTGTGAAATTCTCTTTCTCCACAGAACTGTGGCCTTCTAATACAGTGTCGGAGGAGCACAGCACTGCCGCTAGTCCACTGTAGCACCGTTCAGAGATCCAAGGCTAGAAACACCCCAATGTCCACCAAAGGCCAGTGTGATAATGCTACAGCCACAGAATGGAATATTCTGCACCACTGCGAAGGATGAGGTGGGGCTCAGTGGGCTGGAGCGCTGGCCTAGCACCTGTGAGGCCCTGGGTTCGATTCTTGACATCAGGACAAAACGAAAAGAACAGAATACAAAGCAGCTCTTCCTCAAATGACAGAGATCATTTGATCCCCAAGCTTCTGCATCAAAAGCAGAATGTATCTGGCCCTGTGAATGGGACATGAGCACCTCCCCCAAAAGACGATGTTTACATCAAGTGAAATACTCCTGGATAAATGCCAAAGCCCTGAAGCGCTGCAGGGACTGGTGGGCGCCTGGAGAGCACAGGTCCACAGGGACTGGGGCAGGATTATTTTTCACTGGATGCCCTTATGTACCGCGTTCACTGTGTGCCTGGGTGACGTTGCTGGTATCAAAACAAGGAAAATTAAAAGTATTTTGAAGGTTCAGTTTCACATTAAAAGGCCGCAGGTGCAAAGCAAAGCCTGTAATGAGCAAGCAAAGTGGCCCAGTTCAGGATAAAAACTGTCCCAGATGGACGAGTTGGGCTGGATGGCTTCAGGGTTGTATGTGGGTTTTTTGTTTGTTTTTTTGGCGAACCGGGGATTGAACTCAGGCCCTTGCACTTGCCAGGCAAGCGCTTATTCTACTGAGCCATCTCCCCGGCCCCTAAGGTTGTAAAACAAAGTAAAGTTTCAGATTTGTTCTGCCCAGACCTTTTTTTTTTTTTTTTTTTTTCAGAACTGGGGATTGAACTCAGACCCTTGCACTTGCCAGGGAAGCACTTACTTACTGAGCCATCTCCCAGGCCCCCTGTTCTGCCCAGACCTGACACTCCAAGAAATCTGCTCAGAATATAAATGTTTAAGGAAGATGTTTTTGGAGCTGGGCGTGGAGGTGCACACCAGTAATCCCAGCACTTGGGACACTAAGGCAGGAGGATCACCACAAGGTCAAGGCCAGCCTGGGCTACACACAACAAGTTCAAGGACTGTCTGGACTGTATTTCGAGACCCTGTCTCAAAAAGCAACAACAATAATCTTTAAAAAAAGATATTTCTCAACTCAAAGGAAATAAATTTTTATTTATTTATTTGTGTGTGTGTGTGGCCAGCTCAGCCTACCAGGGGGCAGGGCTGGCTGGCATGTGGTGCTGGGGGATTGAACCGCGGTCCCTGTGCTTTGCTAAGCTTGTTCTAAGTAGGTGCTTTAGACCACTGAGCCATCTCACCAGCCCCAACTCAAAGGAAATATATCCTAGAAAAAAACAGTATTTGGGCCAGGCCAAAGTAGGGCGCATGGAAGGCAAAGGATGAGGTCTACACGTATTTCGTTTCTGATTAGATTCTGAGAGAACTGTTTGATAGGAGTGTGGGGTGAAACCAGGAAAAAGCAAGGAGTACCATGTGCTTCCCAGTTTGCTCTCTGCCAGAATTCCCTAAGGCCCTCATGACAACAAGGTGGTCCAGTGACACAGCAGGTACTACAAAGGGTGCGGCAGTCAGTCGAGCAGCCCAGCCACACCCAGTGGTCCCCTGCTTGCAACAAGGGCACCAGCTCCTCCTGGACAGTCTGAAATCCCTGTGACTGAGGTGCCCTGGGACTACACAATGGTTCCCTTGGCCAGCAGCAGCAACAGCACCTGAGAATGTGCTAGAAATTCCCGTTCCCAGGCCCTGCCCAGATCTACAGCATCCCCAACACTGGGTGGAGTACTGTAACAAACCTTCCAGGCACTGATGCGCTCATGTAGGGTATGCAAGGGGAAGAGTCTGAGATCCCACACAGAACCAAACGGGAACAAGGGCCCACACCCATGAGCCACCTTCTCTCCTCCCCTGCCACTAAGTAGGGGCTGGCCTGGGACTCCAGAACAGTGAGCTTTCACCCTTGAAGGTCAGGCAAGAGAATAATGCCAAATAGGCAAAGGTCACCCAGGAAAGTCATTTTCTTCACCTCTTAAGGCCTCAGGACCTCGCCTGGAAAACTTGAAAAGGGGCCAGAAAGAGATCAAACCGAAAGTTCTTGCCTAGAGTCCACGCAAGCACTTCAGGGACCCATAAACAATCATCAGCCAATGTTCTGCACATGGACTTAGTAGGCGGTGGGGCCAAAGCTTACTTTACATTCTTAGAAGTGCCCCACACATTCAAGACTTCCAGGCCAGGAGATCTTAAAAGTCCTCTTCAACTTCTGCTTTTGGGGAGTGGTGTCAAGATAGAACCAAAGACCTAAAACATGTCTGGTGGGCCAGCCAGATAGCTCCGTGGACTAAAGAGCCTGCTCAGGCAGACACAGGGGCTGGCACCCCCAGGGCACACTGAGAAGGTGACTGAGACTGGGGCTGGTGGCACACATGCCTATAATCCCAATGCCTGTAATCCCAGCGCCTATAATCCCAGTTCTTGGGAGGCTGAAAACAGAAAGATCACCACTAGTCTAATCTGTGTAGTGAGACCTTGTAGACCCTGTACTAAGTACACACACACACAAAAAAAAAAAAAAAAAGCCTAGGAAGCACTCTACTACTGAGCTACATCCCTAGGCCTCCTCTTGAACTTTAAAATCCTTTAATTCTACAGGAAGGGGAGGGAACATTAGAAATAAATATACCATAAGCAACTTTGAGCTGGGAAAAGGTAATTTGCCAAAGTCTACCAGGAAACAAAGGGGTTACCAAGTCCAGCTCAATGGGAAGCCAGAAGCTGGGGAGACAGTTCAGCTGTCTAAGCACATGCCTGGCAAGTGCAAGGACCTGGGTTTGATCCCCAGTACTGCACACATATTGGGGCCGGGGAGATGGCTCAGTGGAATAAGCACTTGTCTGGCAAGCACAAGGGCCTGAGTTCAATCCCTGGTTCTGCAAAAAAAAAAAAAAAAAAAAGATTCTAATGAGAAGTCAGCTCTGGCCCAACGCTGACCACACCTAACAGTATTCTAGAGCTTCTAGTCTCATAAACCCCACTGCTGTTTGCTGTTTGCTAATACAAACATGCCGATTCCCCCTGGAGCTAATGAGAGTTCAGTGGCTATATCCAAGGGGTAGAAATTTAATAGCTTCCAAACAACAGACACATCTGT